TATATGTTATATATATAAGCCTACCTTGGAAGGGAGGGCGGGATACAAATTAAATAAATAAATAAATAAATTGTTGCCTTCCCCCCCCCCACTCACACATTGCAAAGAAGAGAGAGGTGTGAGGTCAAGGGGGGGTGGCCAGTCTGAGTCCAGGTGAATAGAAAGCCTCTGGGTCTGGGTTGCCAATCTGTGCATCAGCCATGACAAGTGATAGTTCCGGCTTTTACTCTGTAGCTTTTGCCTTCTTCGAAGAGACGACCTTGGGGGAACGGGAGGACTTTCCGGGCCAGGGCTATTTTTGGGCAGGAACGCACAGGAACGGAGTTCTGGCTGGCTTCAGAGTTGGCCACGCCCACTACAGCCAAAACCGCTGCGCACGCGTGGCTACTGGGGAGCGACCTCCCCCGGCAACTCCAAGGCGGGCGGGTCAAGGGGGGCACTGGAAGGATCCGGGAGGCATTTAAATGCCTCCCTGTGCCTTCCCTGGCCTGTCCAAGGGAAGGCATGGGGTGCGGCCTAATATGCTAATGAGCTGTACTGTCAGAGGTGTGGCCTGTTATTTTATTTATTTATTTTATTTATGCTAATGAGTTCCTGCTGGGAACTCCTTTTATGCTAATGAGTTCCTGAGTTCCCTCCTTTTTTAACGACAACAACAAAAAATCATCCAGGCTGGAAGCAGACAGCTGCGAACGGAGAATGGGATGAGTTTCATTCCGTGGCTTTCGCAAAGAGTTCTTAATGGTTAACTTTGCTTCCACAGCCTTGGGAGGAAACTTTGTGTTTCTCTCCAAGACGGCCTCCCAGGTCAGGAGAATGCTAGGGTCTTCAGGGAGTCTGCCTGGGTATTGAGAATGCACAGTGCACAAGGATTACTGCAATAGTGCATACAGTGCAAGAAATTTGCGAACAACAGTTGTACTGAAATCACAATAACTTCATGTTGTTTTTAATCTTTGTTTTTCAACAATCAGGAGATCGTTGTTTGATAAAGAGACATCGAAACAAACGATAGCTCGGGAAGTTCGTCCTTCCGTTTACTTTGACGTCGTCACCCATTGTCCGATGGCATCCTGAATGTTGAAAAACAAATATTAAAAACAACATGAAGTTATTGTGATTTCAGCACAACTGTTGTTCGCAGATTTCTTGCACTGTATGCACTATTGCAGTAATCCTTGTGCTATCATCATACTGCTGCCCCTTTAATTGCTATACCATGGGTATTGAAAATGGCCAACCTGCTAGGGTGGTCATTGCACCCACGTGTCTAAAGAGGCCTGGTCCTTGTTGAAGGGGTGAACCTGTGGCTGGGTGCTCACGTGACTGAAAGCTTCTCCGTTTTTTAAGTAGCCTTAGAAAGCAAGATGTTTGGGAGGAGGGCTTCTTGAAATTCTACTTTTCTAAATTCAGGGACTGTTTTATTTGGGTTTTGTAGAGCAGTTTGAAAGCAAGAAGTAAATGAATAGGTACCGCTTCGGTGGGAAGGTACCAGCGTCCTGTGTGCCTCGGCGTCTAGTCATGCCGGCCACATAAGCACGGAAACGTCTTCGGACAGCACTGGCTCTTCGGCTTGGAAACAGAGCTGAGCACCGCATCCCTAGAGTCGGATTCGACTGGCTTTCGAGCAAGGGAAACCTTTACCTTTACTAGGCTTAATTACTGTACTGCTGGCTTGGAAACATCTATTTTAGTCCTTGTGGTGCTAGAACTATGCTGTCATTATTACAGGGTTTTTACTGTCTTTTACTCTCTTGCTGAGAGGCAAACAAATACATAAAATAACCAGCTTCCCTTTTTAAAAAGTCTGTGGAAAAGGGACCCGTAGTGTATGCTGGTGCAGAAAAACAGTCAGAGGTTGGTTTTATCCAGTGACACACAAAGGAAGGCATCGCCCTGGTCAGGTGCTCTTGTACATAAAATCTGTTTCTGGACGGTGTTCCTCGGGGCAGAGCTGGTTCAAAGTGGGGCTGCCCTTGAGAAGTGTTTGGAGTCCTCAGTCGGTGCAGCCAGGATGTTGACTGGAGTGGGTGACAGGGACTGTATCACTCCAGTTTTGTTCCATCTGCGCTGGCTCCCAGCTTGTTTTCAGGCACAATGCAAGGCGCCACTCTTGACCTTCAGAGCCAGTTTGGTGTAGTGGTTAGGAGCGTGGACTCTAATCTGGGAGAACTGGGTTTGATTCCACACTCCTCCTCCAGATGCAGCTGCTAGTGTGACCTTGGGTCAGTCACAAGTTCTCTCAGAGCTGTTCTCTCAGGAGCAGTCCTTGAAAGAGCTCTCTCAGCCCGAGTGTCTGTTGTGGGGAGGGGAAGGGAAAGGAGATTGTAAGCCGCTCTGAGACTCTTTCAGGTAGTGAAGGGCGGGGTATAAACCCAATCTCCTCTTTTTCTTCTATATGGTTTGGGACCAACACACCTGAAAGATCTCTTATCCCCTTATGAACCTTCCCAACCATTACGGTCATCTTCAGAGGCCCTGCTTCAAGTGCTCCCACCTTCTAAGATTAGGCGTGGGGGTCACTTGGGAGGGGGCCTTCTCGGTCATGGCACCCGAGCTCTTGAACTCTCTTCTCCCCAGGGAGATTTCTCCGCCCTCTTCTGTTTGCTGTCTTCCGCCAACGGGTGAAGACTTTAAAAAAAATTCGTTTGGCATTACCTTAGAAGAAGAAGAGGAAGAGGAAGAAGCAGAAGAGGAGGAAGAAGAGGAGGAAGAGATTGGGTTTATCCCCCACCCTTCACTCAGAGTCTCAGAGCGGCTGACAAACTCCTTTCCCTTCCCCTCCCCACAACAGACACCCTGTGAGGCAGGTGGGGCTGAGAAAGCTCTTTCGAGGACTGTCCTCGAGAGAACAGCTCTGACAGAACTCTGGCTTGCCCAAGGTCATCCAGCAGCTGCATGCGGAGGAGTGGGGGAATCAAACCCGGTTCTCCCAGATTAGAATCCACGCACTTAACCACGACACCAAACTGGCTCTTAGTGATCCCTCCTTCCTAACCAAAGTTCTAATTGCAGTTTTAATGTCTTGGACATATTTAAACTCTGTTTTTGATTGTTTTAATGATCTGTGGTTTGGAGGAGGTTGCTTTTGGTGGTTTTAGAATGTGGTTCTATCATATGTGTTTTTAAAGTATGAGCTGCCTTGATGCCCCTTGTCAGGACAGAGCGGCAGGAGATACGTTTTGTAAATAAATAAGATGCTTTGGCACCTCCAGCAAGGTACAGTATACTTGTCCCCTCCTGGGTCTGCATCGCTGGCAACCAGGTCCAGGCCCAGCCCTTTGGACATTGCTTGGACCCAGCGGGATGCCCAGGAGGGGATGCCATTTATGTGTGCCATTTATGGCTGGGACCAGCCGAGCCCCTGCCGAGCACCAGTGCCATCTTTGCTGTGCCCCCCCTGCCAGTGGTTTGGCCAGAGAACCAGCCTGTTGCGAGGAGGGAGAGACAGAAGCTCCTCTCCGAGCAGTCCTTAACTCTGAAGGGGTTGTTTTCTTTTGACTCGTAGAAGCGCGCGCCGTGGACGAAGCCAAACCAGTTGAACATGGAGGGGGCTCTGATCGCCCGGGACCGAGTCGGCGTTCAAGACTTTGTCCTTCTGGATTCCCACACGAGTGAATCTGCGTTCCTGGACAACCTTCGCAAGAGATACCGGGAGAACCTCATCTATGTAACTGCAGATTGCGATGCTTGTCTGTGTTACAGGGTAGCCAGCTGGAAGCTGGAGAATACTTGGAGACATTGGGGGGTAGCGCCTGAGGAGGGGGGGGGTTGGGGAGGGGGGACTTCAGTGGGGTACGATACCATAGAGTCTTCCTGCAAAAGCAGCCATTTTCTCCAGGGGGACTGGTTTCTGTCACTAGGAGATCAGTTGTCATCCCAAGAGATCTTCAGCCATCACCTAGAAGTTGAGATCCAAAAGCAACATCCGTGACAAAAATAACGAGTCGTCAATAAAGATAAGTTGCAAGAACATTTACTGTAGTAATTCTGTAGAGAATTTTCTTCTGCGATCGCTCGCACGCAACGAATACTGCACAATGTAAACAATTCGTGTCACAACGTTTGTTTTATCTGAGCGTGTAGCAATCCCAATTCACATTGTGAAGACCTTGGGGATTCTGTTATTAGAGAGTCAACATGGAATGTTTCCTTCAAGGGTTGATAAGTAGTAATTGATAAGAATTGGGATTGCTACACGCTCAGATAAAGCAAATAATGTGAAACGGATTGTTTACATTGCACAGTATTTGTTGCGTGTGAGCGATAATAGAAGACAATTTTCTATGGAATTACTACAGTAAACATTTTTGCAACTCATCTTTATCGACTCTTCATTGTTTTTGTCACGGACGTTGTTTTTGGAATTCCACTTCCTCCCGTGATCTCTCGTTTTTGGCATCACCTGGAGGTTGGCATCTACTGATGATGGTATTGCTTTGGATTCTTGTTTCTGAGAAAAGGAGGCTGGTAGGTGATAGACTGTGAGAACAGCCATTAGGTTGGATTGGGGCCCCTTGCAGGGTAGGGGGAAAGCTGGAGCTAAAACTGGGGTGTAGGAAGTGCTGCAGCCATAGTGTGAGGGGGTTCACGTCACATGAACAGTTGTTCTGGCGCCCAGCAGCCCCTGACATCCTCTGAGAAAGACAGCTGGTCTCTCCTCTTTAGTGATGAGTGAGGTTATCAGGGTTTTTTTTGCTAAAGCAGCTAGATGCCAGTTCAGTAGCACCTTGGTTGCCCGGTCTTACCTTGTTTTAAAAATAAATCATGTATCCTTTTTCATCACAAATTCCGATCTGGTGATGTTTCCTACGGGCCCCTCTGGTTTGCCTGTTTCGGTCTGGATGTTTTAACGCCTCTCGTTTTCCTGCAGACGTACATCGGCACCCTCTTGGTGTCTGTGAATCCGTACAAAGAACTGGACATCTACGCGGTCAAGCAGATGGAACAATACAAAGGGGTCAACTTCTTTGAGCTGCCACCACACCTGTAAGCAGAACCCCCAACTGCCTTTCTATATTCTGTTGTCCCACTGAGGGATAAGGGGTGGGTGGGTTGTAGTTGTTTTCCTGAAGGCGGTTTGAAGCGGAGGGTCATCGTGCACATCCAGGCTAAGGACTCTGCAACTTGTTTGTAGCCCAGAAGGTGCCCTCCGAGATGAAAATCAACTCCCCCAAACACAGATCATTCAAAAGATTAAAAACAGAGTTGAAACCAATGCTCCCTCTAAGCTGTGGAGCCTTGTGAGCAAAAAATTCTACTTTGTTAGCTACTGGCATTTAAGTTGTGAGTGAGCTATTTGGCTACTGCACAAATTAGTTTGCTCTGGAGCCCTCCTTCCTGAGCTAGGACAAAAATGTGTGAGCCGGAGGCTCAAAAACTGTGAGCTAGCTCACGCTAACTCAGCTTAGAGGGAACACTGGTTGAAACATGTACAAAGACATTAAAACAGCAAATTGAGAGCCAGTTTGGTGTAGCGGTTAAGTGCGCGGACTCTAATCCGGGAGAACCGGGTTTGATTCCCCACTCCTCCACTTGCACCTGGCTGGATGACGTTGGGCAAGCCGTAGTTCTGATAAGAGCTGTCCTTGAATAAGAGCAGTTTCTTTCAGCGCTCTCTCAGCCCTGCCTACCTCACAGGGTGTCTGTTGTGGGGAAGGGAAAGGAGTTTGTAAGCCGCTCGGAGACTCCTTTGGGTAGTGAAGGGCGGGGTATAAATCCAATCTCTTCTTCTTCTTCTTCTTCTTCTTCAATTAAAACATTAGGAAGGGGGGATCGCTGAGGGAATGCAGAATTAAACAGAAAAGTCTTCTCCTGAAGGTCGAAGATGACAACAGGAGGGGCCAGCAAATATCCATGGGGGGAAGAGAGTTCCGGGGCTTTGGTGCCATGACTGAGAAAGACCATGGGGGTTTTCTAGAGTTTCCAGTTCTAGTTTGGGAAACTCCTGGAGATTTGGTGATGGAGACTGGGGAAGACAGGGACCTCAGTGGGGCACAATGGGACAGAGTCCACCCTCCCAAGCATCCCTTTTCTCCAGGGGAACTGAACTCTATAGTATGGAGAAGAGCTGTTATTCTGGGGGATCCCCAGGTCCCACCTGGAGGCCGGCATCCCTAGGTTTTCCCCAAGGCAGATAAAGTTAATACTCTCAAGTTATGAAACTTTGGCATGAAGAAGAAGAGATTGGATTTATACCCCACCCTTCACTCGGAATCTCAGAGTGGCTTACAAACTTCTTTCCCTTCCCCTCCCCACAACAGACACCCTGCGAGGTAGGCGGGGCTGAGAGAGCAGAGCTGCCCTTGAGAGAACAGCTCTGATAGAACTACAGCTTGCCCAAGGCCATCCAGCAGCTGCAAATGGAGGAGTGGGGGAATCAAACCCGGTTCTCCCAGATTAGAGTCCGCGCACTTAACCACGACAGCAAACTGGCTCTCAGTTTGACTAAGATAGCCTGTGTCTTCCCACTGAATCTGTCTCTCTTCTCCAGCTATGCCATAGCTGACAATGCCTACCGGGTCATGTGCACGGAGAACAACAACCACTTCATCCTGATCTCTGGGGAGAGCGGCGCTGGGAAGACAGAGGCCTCCAAGAAGATTCTGCAGTACTTTGCCGTGACTTGTCCCACGACGGAGCAGCTGCAGATTGTCCGGGACCGCTTGCTCCTCTCCAATCCCGTGCTGGAGGTAAAGACAAGAGCGACATGGGAAGTGTGGGGGGGTGTTCAGAACGATTGCCGGGACTTTCATGTACCCAGCCAGCATCCACACGGCAGCATCATAGGCTGTGGCTCAATGGCCGAGCATCTGCTTGGCATGCAGAAGGTCCCACGTTCAGCCCCCCACATCTCCAGGAGGTGACCTGAAAGACCTCTGCCCGGGAGCCTGGAGAGCGGCTGCCAGTCTGAGTAGACAACACTGACCTTGGTGGACCAGTGTCCTGATTAGGGGTCGTTTCGTAGAAAAAGAGCTAGGGGAACTCATTAGCATAACTCATTAGCATATGCCACATCCCCTGACATCACCGGAAGTGTGTCATAAGGCCACACCCCCTGACATCACCGGATGTGTGTCATAAGGCCACACACCCCGCCCCCAATGGTCCCGGCCGCCGCCGCCGGCATTGCATCTCCACTGCCGAGCCCCATGAGGGGCCTGGCGGTGGACCTGCAAGGCTGGCGGGAGTGCAAGGAAGCCCCGCGAAGGCATCTCCCTGGCCCCAGGCAGGCAGGGGTGGGGAGAGGCAGGGAAGAATTTATCTTCCCTCTTCTCCTGCCTCCTCCTGGCTGAATGAGGGCCGGAAGCGGGTGTGGCCGGAAGCAGGGGGCGGGGCTTCGTCATGTGCCCCGCTCCGTACCTCACCCGGGGGAACTGCGATCCCCCGCGATCCCCCCTGAAATGACCTCTGGTCCTGATTTGGTATAAGAAGGCTGCAAGTGGAGGAGTGGGGAATCAAACCCGGTTCTCTCAGATGAGAGTCCGCGCTCCTAACCACTACACCAAACTGGCTCTCTAGTGTACAAAAAAGAAGAAAGATTGGATTTATACACCGCCCTTCACTACCCAAAGGAGTCTCAGAGTGGCTTACAAACTCCTTCTCCTTCCCTTCCCCACAACAGACACCCTCTGAGGTAAGTGGGGCCGAGAGAGCTCTTTCCAGAACTGTCCTTGAGAGAACAGCTCTGACAGAACTCTGGCTTGCCCAAGGTCATCCAGCAGCTGCAAGTGGAGGAGTGGGGAATCAAACCCGGATCTCCCAGATTAGAGTCCGCGCACTTAACCACGACAGCAAAGGCAGCTTCGTGTGTGTGCAAACCTGCAGAAGCAGATTTGACTTGATGTGCAGAATCTTGTTAGCACATCTCGTCTGCCGATTTATCCTATCACTGAAATTCACGGCAAGAGGTTTGGTTATTTTTTTCCCCTTTATAGTCCGTAGAATAATTACTCTGTACTTGGTGTTTGTTGGAGTTTCACTACAGTGCTGGTAGACGAGCTGTCCCCTTCTCTCCCCCCCAAATGCTCCCTCTAAGCTGTGGAGTCCTGTGAGCAAAAATTCAAGTCTACTGAGCTCCTGGCATTGAAGTTGTGAGCGAGCGATTTGGCTGCTGTGTAAATCAGTTTGCTCTGGAGCCATCCCTTCCTGAGCGGAGACAAAAGTGTGTGAGCCGGAGGCTAAAAAAACTGTGAGCTAGCTCACACTAACCCAGCGTAGAGGGAACACTGCTCCCCCCCCCCAGTGTTCTGTTTTAACAGGGCTAAAAATTTCATAAAGATGACGGAGATTTCCCCTTCCATGGCTACAGACCGTGATGGCGAAAAGGAACCTTCTTCTATTCAGAAGGGCAGCAGCCGCTCT